TTTATTTATATAGCGCCAAATCACAACAAAAGTCGCCTCAAGGCGCTTCATGAGCGAGGGAAGAAGAGAACGCCGCACCTTGGCCAGGTAGTTGATGGTGACGGTGAGGAGGAGAACCAGGGCACTGTGGAGAAGAACTTTGCCCAAACGAACCACCAGGCTTCCAGTCTTTACACCAGGCTACATGCACACACACAGAATAACGAGAGGTTAGTCAGTGCATCTGTTATGGTCTCACTGCAGTTTTCTGCAATTAAAAATGTAAAGAAAGCAGACATCTTTCCATACACACAGTATATATATGGGTACATGCATCAGACCACTAACCCTTAACAGCATGGGTCATTTCTCTGTAAATATCTAAGCACATATTAAAATCATCAATCATGCATAAATATATTTTTATGCTTGTTATTTTTGCACATTTTGCAATCATTTATAGATGTCAGAAAAATGTCCTCGTTATTTCCCAAAATTCTTTCAGACTTTGCACTGCAGACTGTTAAGATTTCAGGTCTATATTGTCTCATCCTGCACACAGTCTGCTGCAACTTCTCACAGAGTGACCCCTACCAAACTAATTAGTCAGCACAGTAATTACTGCTCGTGTTCAAATGCCCGTGGTTATTTACAACACGGATACTGCGCAGAGCACAGAGCACTCCACTGCTTCACAGATGGACATCTCGGTGTTTTTTTGTGGGAGTTTTTCCATCTGAAGCCGTTCTGATGATTCTGGACACAAAATGTGAGAATCTATCAGCTTCTCCACTGAATTAGAAATAGTCTCACAGCACGCCTCTGAGATCTTACGCCTCTGTAAACTGGAGATTTGCCCTGGAATACTATTTGTGTGTTTCCGACAGCAGGGTTAGGCAGCTGAGGTGACTGTAGGGAAACTATCAGTCCTAACTTAACAACCTCTAATTGGATGTATTTTGCCAGTTGTGCTACTGAATGCCACTATTAGCATGTCGACTCATCATCAGTATGCCAGGTGCATCTTTTTTGCAGACCTGCTGTCATCAAAACCATCCAACATCAAAGGTATGCATTTAAAGCTTAATCCAGGCATTAAATGAGAACACTGTCTGCCAAGGCTAAATCAACATTTGCAGAGGACAGAATACCTGTTTCACAAACTAATATGCCTCGAGTTTCAAACCAGAAGTTGGATAAAATCATTATTTCATAAGTCACAAATAAGTCTGACGCAAATGCTGTTACAGGTTTAAGTAGTTCTTTAAGTAACACCGTCATTTTATGTAAAAACTGAAAATCGGCCAAGCCACAGAGGGTATGAAATATAGGTTAATACTGCATTTAACGAGCTGTGTTCGACTGAGAGATTCCTAAAAATGTTGGAAAGGTGCAAGTCAATACTTAAGTCTTAAATATGATCCCATCTCTAATAATCAGCTATGTACCACAGGCCTTCAAGCTGGCAGTAATTAAACCGTTACTCAAAAAGCCATCTCTTGACCCAGCAGTCTTAGCTAATTATAGGCGAATCTCCAACCTTCCTTTCATATCAAAAACTCTTGTAAAACAGATCATCTGCAGAGGCTTATTTGAAGAGTTTCAGTCAGGTTTCAGAGTTCATCACAGCACATAAACAGCTTTAGTGAAGGTTACAAATGATCTTCTTATGGCCTCTGACAGTGGACTCATCTCTGTGCTTGTCCTGCTAGACCTCAGTGCAGCGTTCGATACTGTCGACCATAATATCCTATTAGAGCGATTAGAGCACGCTGTAGTAGGGCTGTGCGATATGACCAAAATCTCATATCCCGATATAAGAATTCTATCGTCCGATAACGA